ATTTTTATTACATTTTTTCGCATTTCACTATAATTTTCAAGTATTTTATTAAATTAAATATTGTAAAGCAACGATTAAAATATTATTAATGAGAACTAAATTTGCAACCAAAAATTTTATGCTAATTATGCAAAATAAGTTAGGCGTTTGTACATTTTATAATTAAATAATTTAAATAATTAAATAATTTGTATTTATCAAAAATAAGTTTACAAAAAGGGATTGCTGTTAATTATTCTGAAACCAATGATTCAGCAAAATTTTTGCTGAAACCAATTTATTTATTTTTATTATTTTTTACTTTTTTAAATTTTATTTTGAGTTCTGAATAATTTTAACAGAAATTTTGTTTAATCATCGTTTTCATTATAATTAACCTAATAAATTGGTTTTAATTACTACTGTAAGGCAATAAATATACGAAGAACTGATAATTTCTGCGGCAAAAAATTTTATATATTAAATAAAATTCACTTAACACTGATATACGAATCGCAACTTCCATCCTTGCGTCTACTGACTAAATCGTAAGCTCTAATAATATATATACGAACTGTACACTGAGTAACTCCAACAAATTCAACAATTGGTAATGTCAAACTTTCTATAAATAATGCCCAAGTTACTGTACACTCTTATAGATTTATTATAAAAACAATATTCTGTATATTATAAATTATATATTATTTTAGAAAGTTACTGTGTATTCTTATATATTTATTATAAATACAACTAAAAACAAAATTATTCAGAAGTGCAAATGATTGCTATAAAATTTGAAGATTTTTTATAAAAATAATAAAATTTTGTAAAATTGATTATCCATTTAAAATGAGTTTCAAGAAAAAACACTAAAGTTTGGGACAATTAAACTGAAAAAATTCAGTACGCACTTAATGTATAATTTTTGTAGAATCAAATTTACAGGTTCAATAGTTCAAATAAAGATAGCTTGACACAAAAACATGCCAAAATAAAAGTAAGTAGTAGTAATATGCAGTAATTGCTAGTAATCAAAAATGTGCCTTTAAGACTTACTGGCTTTTTAGCTAATGAATTAAGGATAACATTAAATGGCTTCAAACAAAAAACTGATCTCAACAACAATTTTTTTTGTTCAGATAAATTAATAATATTAATTCATAAATAAAAATTATTAATATCATCAAAATTATGAATATTGATTTAAAAAATTTGCATAAACCATTTGATTTTTTGTCTTCTTTTCGAAAAAAGATTCTAGCTTTCAATTCTCCACGAGGTATTCTTAATTCTGGTGTTTCAATAGTTTGCTTAGTCATTTTTCGAAACATAAATGTATCAAGGAAATCCGAAAATCCGTAATATTCATTAACATCTTCAAGAGCACAACTAAATACTCGCAATTTTTCAATTCCTGACCTTAAAAAAACCTTTTTTATTTAGTAATTAAAAATATAAATTTGTAAATTTCAAATAAGAATTAATTTCAAAAAAATAGAATAAGCTTTTTTTAATAATTTTAATAATTTGAATTAATAAAATTAACTCTGCAAATCCCGGCGCTTTTTCAGTTTCATTTATTGAAGTATAATATTTACTCCACCAGTCGATTATGAATTCACCAAAAACATAATCTTCTTCATCTATTGCTATCAGATCTTTTTTCTCTTCAGATTCTTCTAATGATAACATTTCATCGTATTTTTGCCAGTTGTAAGTATCTCGTTTTATACTCTAAAATTTAATCTAAAATTTAATAATTTATACTCTAAAAAAAAGTTCTAAAAAATGCGATGAAATTTTAAAAAATTATAATTTTTTAATTTTTTTAAAAGTAATTGAGTTATATCACATAAATGGCAGTCGTTACTATTTTATAATACTAACAACTGCAAATTTTTGTAAAAAAAAACAATTTTACACTTTCATTAATTATTTCATTGTAAAAAACGTGGAAATTGTTAAAAATACGGTACTACAAATAGTCTACATTGTTTTAGCTTAAAATAAAAAAATCAAATTTTATTAATTTTTATAAAATTTTGAAAAAAATGTTTTTTAAAAAATCTGAAAAAAGATTTTTAAGTAATTATAAATACAGTAACAAACCTTAGGTAATTTGTTGATATATTTAGCAAAGTCTTGTACAATACAAGTACCAATTAGTGGCTCACGACCAAATGAGCGTCTATCGTATAAATTAAACGTTAATGGTGGAGCATAATAAAAATTAACAGGTAAATTAACTTCATTTAAAATTATTAAAGGTCGTACAAAGTTTGGATTACGTTTAGCGTCCTCAATCACATCAGATCGAGCAATTTTATCACCAATTCGAATTTCAACAAATGGATTACGAACTGATGACAGCTAAAAAAATCTTTGAATTGAAGATTTTTTCTTCTTATTAAAAAATTGAGAACTTCTTGAATCTAATAACCAAACTTCACAGAAATTGGAAAAAAAAAGCATCAAAAAATAAAGTATAATTTTTGGCAAAAAAGTCTAAAAATTTTTTATTCCTAAAACTACGTGCTTAAAATATAAAAAGAATTCTGATTTTTTTAATTCAAAAAGACCAAAACAATATTTCAAAAAAATTTTTAAAAATCACTTTTTTATTTAAAAAAAAACCATATCAAAAAAAATTCTATATTAAAAAAAAATATTCAAAAAACTTTATATTTAAAAAAAAATTGAAAAACTTCAAAAAATTTGCATTATGTTCGATCTGATTTTGTAAAATAAAGTAAAAATAATGCTCAAAAAAGAGCAGAGACTATTGTATAATAAAGCTTTAAAATTTTCAAAAGTAATTAATTATTAATTAATTGTTTGATTAATTTATCTAATATAATATACAGTAATTAGAACGCAATTTTTTGTTCAAAATAAATCAGAAAAGTTTGAGAAAAAAATTGCATTGTATTTTGAATACTGTTTTTTCTTCATTTCATAAAAATTAAAATCAGTAAAAAAATTCTTAAAAAACTAATTTTGCTTTTATAAATTGAATTACTTTGATTTTTGAAAACTGTATTTAATACGGTAGTGTACAGTTTACAGTAACGAATACTTTATAAAATTTTTGATAAAAATTAAGAAATTAACCTGATATCTTGGTAAATCTCTTACACCCCAACACAAAATTTGTACGGTATATTGTTTAAATATGGGACATACATCACGTGCTACGGAATAACGATTAGTTTGTTGTTTTCTAGGTGGTTTTAGAGGAGCAATATGAACTGCTTCACCCTCGTACAAAAATAATTCAAATAAGGCTAGTAAAGCACCTCTGGAAGTTAATATTTATTAATTTTTTTCATTCCAAAAAAAGTAAAAAAATATTTTCAAAAATTTTTCAATTTTTAAATGAACTTACTTTTGTTTTTGATTATGAAATGATAACGGAAACCACGTAGGTGATCTACGCCGATCAGTTGCAAGTGATATCACAGAAGGTGTTGCTATAAAACGTCCCAGAAAAGTTTCAGAAGAACTAAAATCTTCTGAGCATATTTCTATTACAATAGCTGGAGGATCTTTACGAACTGACACCATACTACCACATATGATTATCTTAAATAAAAATTATGCAAATTCGATATCTTAATTTAATTAGTTATAAGTATAATATATTATACTTATAAATTAAAAAAAATAGACTAAATAAATAGCACACCTATATTTTTTAAAATATTAAGATGTATTTGATAAATATATTTTAAGAATTATTTTGAAAAAAGTAAAAATTACGTTTATCTAAAATTCATTTTTCATTTTTTTTAAGTCAAAAAAAGCAAAAACATTTTGTTGTAAAATGTTATGTAATATGAATCAAAAGTTTCTCTTTTGTGATCAAAAATTTTTGTAAGTTTATCAAATATACTTTTTTAAAAATTAGTGTTTCATTCCATACTGGATTAACAGTATTTTCTACAATTGCCGTTTCTTGACATCGATTTGAGAAAACCACTCGAACAAATGCTCGTGATCCACGTCGATTAGTTGGTAGCAAGTCTCTAGCCCATAAAATTGACGCACGCATTTGCCAACGTGTTATGTGATCGTAGACCTTTAGAATTTTCATACTATCATATATTTAACATTTTTGCATCTATTAAACTTATATAATGAAAACTAGAGACACCACACATTTGAAATTGATAATAAACTTGAAAACATTAAGAAAAATTGTTAAATAATTGAACAATTAAATTAACTACCAAATATATTTTATAATGCTAATTATCCACTGAATTTTCTAATAATTAACTACTTTAATGATATGAGTCATTGCTCATTCATGCGTTGTAAGCAACAAATAATATTAACTATAATAAAAAATGTTTACTAATGCTACAAGTTTAATAAACTAGTTATAAATAATTTTTGTATTTTTTGATTTCAACTGTAATTGATTTAATGAGGACCGATCAGTGCTTCATTAATAAAACAATGTCTTTTGTAAAAAAAAGAAAATGTTACTTCATATATTCTTGGCGAAACTGTAATATGTTCAGCAAGATATAGAGCTAATCTTCTTCTAAAAAAGTATATAAAAATAATCGATCAGATCAACTGATAATTTATCGAAAACAATGCAAACTAATGATTGCCTTGTGTGAAAAATTGTGATAATTGATAATGATTGATCAAAATAATGATCATTCTTAATGAAATTATTTGATAATCAGCAACAATTAGTGTTTATTTGCTTTCAGTTGTTTATGATTGTGATGGAACTAAATAGAGACCTTTGACCTAAATTAGGAGAAAATTCCATTTCACGTACATAACGTCGTCGCCGAAATTTATCGCCAGGCATTTTTTGAACATGCATTGGTTTGCGAAAATTGGTCGCATACTGTAAATGACGTGAGTAATAAAAATGGTGAAAAACTAATATAGTACTATATAATGAAAATATTTGCTAGGATTTTATTAATAATATTAAAAATAACCTCCCATAGCTCCGGATCAATACTTTTCCGCAAAGCATCAATATTTTCAAAAATATCTTTCGTACCTGTACCAAACGTACGCACACGCCTCCATCGCCGACGCCGAAACTTATGTCCTTCCCTAAAAGTGAAACACCCGTCCATTTTTATTCAAAGACTCTGTTCGTTTTCGAGATATCTTTTATTCGAAAATAATACATCTTTAATCTCGAATCTCATCAAAAAAAATTCAGTCCTGGACGTAATGAAGAATATACCGGTAATACATCCCAGTACATTCTTATGAAGAATTTCACGTCATAAACAATATACTGGTATGAAGAATATACCGGTAATATATACCAAGATATACCGGTACTAATTTGTTCTCTCATTTTACTTTACCAGAATATATGGATATAAATATAAATTATATAGTTGAAAAACACTGAATATCATTTTTTTTTTCTTATTTAATTTATGTTTATTTATACTTTGAGTTTTTTGACGACATATGGATAAAATCAAAATTGTGATCATTGATAACAGATCAATAAATGACAATATTTGTTGATAAATATTGTACAATTGAAAATTTATTAAAATTTATTTACTAATAATAATAATTGTGATTTGTGAAAAATCAGTCATCAAACCGTTCTCGGTAATCAATAACAGCATCATCTCTAGCAAAATTAGCTTCATTTGAGGAATAAGACCATCCCTCTGCATCCCCTGCGCAGAATAAGTCAATTGTCCAATTCCCAACCCAGCGCCATCCTATTATTACCTACTCTTTTAAAATTATTTATGTATTTAAGTATTAATAATAATAACAATATCTCTTCTTCTATCCTCAAGAACTGTCGTTGTTCCAAATTTTTATTGCTTTGATTTTATGACTGACTAATCTTTATTTCTTTTTTTATTAAATATAATTTATAATTTTATTGAAGAGTTATATTTATTTGTACTACTACAGATATCGTAACCTACAATGTTAGATTAACAATATGATCATTATTATCACTAGCACTACAGTAACTGTTAATGTCATACTGATATTACTATCATTATCATCATTATTAGCGTCACATTTATAATACAAATGTGATCATTATTGGTATCATATTGAAAATTATATTTTGTATCGTCACTGTCATTATTGTTATTAGTAACATTAATAACCTGGAGGAGGATTTTGATCTTGAGCATTATCGATTGGATTACCAAAAGCGCTTGTATAATATAAATCAGTCCAAATATCATCTTCCTTTTCTTGAACTTGAAATATTTCATCTTCATACTGAGTATGACCTGCATCTGGTCCTACCCACATATCATGGCAAAACATTATTTTCCAAGGGCCCTCAAAATTATTGCTAAAGTTATTATTATTACTAACATGAAGTTATTAATAATAATATTATTAATACATTATAATTTATACGTATAGTATCTTTATTGATAAATTATGGTTCTTACTAAAATATAAATATAATTCTTTTAGTTTGCGGTTATATTTTTCAGCTTTATTATCACTAGAATATTATAGCACAGTTAACCGTGACATTCGCGTTACTACATAATCACTGTAATCATGTCTATTACAAATTTCAAGAAAGTAACTATGATTACTGTATATAAAATTACTTATAATACAAACTTAAAGATACAGTAACACTTTCATTTCAAATACATGATATAAAGTAATATTTAAAAACTTGCAACCTTATAGGACCATCCATGGGACAATTTCACGTCATCTTCTATCATCCGAATTATTCCTGTTTCATCCGATCTTCCATATGGCTCACCACTAAATGCATCAAAAATTTTTATCAATTAATCATTTTTTAAGTTTTTGAGTCTTTTGATATTTCTTTACTCAGTCAATTTCGAATTAAATTATTTTAAATATTTGATAGTATACAATTAAAATTTAGTATTTCATTTTCCACTTTATTTTTATTCATATTAAAATTTAATTAAAAAAAAAGATCACAACAAAACTTTTTTGAATTTGTTTTGTAAACTAAAAATTTATCGTATACTGTTTTGCATAATACAAAATTTTATGCTTACTATTGATCATCGTTTTCAGGAGAATCAACGTTAAATTTCAAAAATTAACAATAATACTCACGTTGTAAGCATCAGAAGAAGCTGCTTTCTAAGCTTATTTTTTAAAATCTTTGTTCACAGAATCTTCCAAAAGCTTTATTTTCTTGTGGCATACATTCACGTTATACGTGTTAAAAAAGGATATTAAAATAAGAATACGAACTTTTTGCCTTCAGTCTCGACCCACCGATCACCCATATGGCGTCGCTGATTCTCAAATACCTCAGCAAAGTACTGAACTACTCCTGGTTCTATAGCTTTATCCCAATTACTTCGATCATTTACTTTACCAAACCAAAGTCGTAAATGAACAATTGCAGGAATTTCATCTTTATCCTCTTTTTTCGTTTCATGACTTGGCCATTTCAAAGTTATAGCTTGTAAACGTCCACAAAAAATCCCTCGGTAACACTCTTCGCTATGGTAATATATCTGTAATTTAATATTTATTACTATTCTATCAAGCAAAAATTATAAAAATATAAGCTTGACTATCAGAAAAGATCAAAAATTGATACTGTATTTGATATATTATCTGATAATATATTCATAATTCAATATTTGTTATTCACAAATATAATCATTTTATTATTAAAATTTATAAAAATAAAATTCAAAGATTAGGAAATAATAATACCATATCTATCTATAAGTAATTAATTACTTATTACTACTCCGTGAACCACTACTACAATTCATTTATTTTACACTCAATTTATTATTATATATTATTATTATTATTGCTATTATTAGTATCATTTCAGTGATAAAATTTAATGAAAAAAAGTTTCAACCAATTTTATTTTCATAAATTTAGCAAGAAAATAAGAATATTCGTGAAAAGTAATAAGTTCCAAATCATATGGTCGAAACTTTTTTCAACAATTAAAAAAAAGTTTCAAATATTACAATGTAAGTTTTCAAAAATTAAAAATTATTATACATTTATATACTAAAAATAGCATATCTATGTCAAAAAAAATAGAAAAAAGATTAAGAAGATATTTATTTCATTTCAATAACAATAAAATATTCAAAGTGTCATGAAAGGTTAAAGGTTAAAATGATACTTCATTTACAGATATTCTAGCAAATGCAAGTAATTCATCGCCATCGTACATTGAAAGTACTGCATCAGGTATTGACATTTCAGGCTCATTTGAAATCTGCATTAAGCGATCAGCTGTTCGTTCTAATTGATTTAAAGCTATCTATAAAAATAAATTTACAAAAGTAAATCAAATTATTCATAAAAATTTACAAAATTTATAAAAAAAATCAGCTGAAAAACATAAAAATAAATATATTCATGCAGTGATTATTATTTTTTTGAAATGAAAAACACATCAGTGTGATTTCGAAAAATTCATAAAAATTTGAAAAAAAATCATAAAAAAATATGAATAAATTTAGCAGTGCAATTTTTTAGGAAAAAACTAACAATATATGTTATTTTTAATACTTTTATCCAAATTTTTATGAAAATTTGTAAAAAAGGAAAATTTTTTCAATTTTTATTAATTTTTATTGGAATTTAATTAATTATAATTTTTATACAGAAACTGACTTACTTCATTAACTTGAAATATATCACTTTTGTCATATTTTAGATGCGCAAAATTTTCAATCATTTTTACAGTTGATGAGATAATTATTTGACGACGTTGCCGATCAAGAGGTGATGATGTTAGTGAATCCCAATCTCTATCAATACTAAAAGTAATACTTCATCGTAATCCACAAAAAATTTGCATAAAATTTGTCGCAATTGATAAAAATAAAAATTGAATAAATTTTTTAAAAAGATTAAAAAGTGACAAAATAATAATAAAAAATAAACCATTCGCTTAATTTAGCAAAATAATCACAAGCTTGTTCGATAACATCAACAATAATTGAAGAAGCTTTACTTATGCCTTCAGAATTGAGCTTAGCCAAACCAGAACTATATAACAGCATTTTAGCAATCTTAAATGAAAATTTTCAGATTTACCAAATAAATAATTGATGCTATAACGCAATTTATCAAAATTTTATGTTTTTCGAAAATTTTTAAAAAATTATAAAACTTTGATTTATTTTTTTATTATTGAATCAAATAATTTGATTTAAAACTTAAAGGCTTAATTTTTATTTTATATTAATTTATTCTTTGAATAAAAATTGATCGGAAATAGTACTTTCTGAAAACAATACCTTCTGTAGAACATTAGAATGCCTCATTCGAAATGAAACATCTTCCCACGCACAAGGAATCTCACAAACAGGCTTATGATTACCCCAAGGCATTGTATAGTATTTTCTTTCAGCGAAAGCTGGCATTACCTGTACAGCAATCACTACAGTATAACGACAGTGAACGTTTCCAACAATACTGTATATTTTCAACTATAGCTACAAAATATCTTCTGTGCTAAAAAAATCTTAAACTTAAACTTTTTTTTTGGCGAATTTTTTAAAAAAAAAGCAAAAATTTGACCAAAAAAAAGGCCTTTTCATCAGCAATATATATTGAAAATTACCGAAAGTGTTCGGGCAGTAGATTTTGGTACTTTTCCATAAGTATTATTACCGTACTCTCCAATACTTAATGAAAATCGGACATTTCTTGATCTGTGATGTAAAATTAATCCCTAATACAGAGTTTAAAATTACAAAAATTTTAGCCAAAAACGAAATTTTTAAATTTACGCACTAATGTTGAAAATTTTTATTGCATATTTAAAAAATAAAACTACAAGAAATTAATAAATCGAAAGTACATTGATTTTTTATAAATATTAAAGTGATCATGAGTTGAAACGATGAAAATCTGTTTAAAAAATTATATACTTTAGTTTTGGATGAATCATATTTACGACAAAAAATGTCGACAATAAAACGTGTTCTGACGTATGCAATTGTGGCAAGACTGATAGGATCACGTCTGATGTCATAGGGTCACGGCAACTTCGCCCACAGTTTTCTTCCAAGCAAATCAATTCAATTAATGCACGTGCTACATAACTAAAATTTACTTATTTATATGTAGTATATTCAATTTTAGTCAAGTATGCAAAGAATAGTTAATTTTAAAGTTAAAAATAAATGGTAGCTTTTAAAATCATATAATTACAGTAATGACTTTATACGTAATAACTTATGGCATTACTTCAAAAACTTCTAATGATTTTTATTCACAGTTACTGTGAATAAAAAGATGCTATACGAAACTTATTTTTCCTAATAATTCCTACCATATAATTAAAAAATTATACAGTAAGAATTTAAAGAATAGATTTAGTAATACCAATCTCCCGGTCGTCGTCCTTCACGTATAGCTTTATCAACTTTTCGAGTTATTCTTTGCAAACTTGATGCGTAGAAACTTATGTATGATGGACCAAACACAGGTAAAAAACTGAAAAATACTTTTTTCAGAGAACTAAAAAATTTATTTCAAAGATTTTATTGATTTTTTTAATCTCGAATATTTTCAAATAAATATTTTACAGCTTGAATTAATTAATTAGTATACCCCTGATTATCTGAATTAAATTGAGAATTTGTAGTTGTAACAACACTTCCTGTTTGACATATATCAGACAAATTTAAATATGTCGTTGCTAAGATTTTCTTCTTCAATTTTTTGCGAATTTTCGTTCGATAAACGAGAATAATTCGAAAAGATATCTACAAAAATAAATTTAAAAAATCAATAAATCAAATATTTTCATACAAAAAAAAAACAAAAAACCTTTGTATAATTTTGCTTTATAGTAAAGTTTGTGTAATTAACTAACTGATAAGTATTTTTTGATAGAAAATTTGAAATTATTACTTTCGGGCAAAACTTTTTAAGCAAACTTTACAAAGTAGAAAATAACTTATCAATCAATCTTTATCAGTTATTGATATTAATTAATTAATTATTATTATTTCGATTTAAATGTGTATTAAATGCCAACAATTTGACTAAATAAACCAGACATGTTTTACTACAGTTGGCCAAACTATAGGAATCATAAGTTCTTCGTAGAAGTCGATAACTTCATGCGATGCTGGCAAAGCATGGGTCATTTCATGTTCCTTTCCAACCTATAATTACAAATACAGTATACTATACAAGCATTGCAGTAATTAGTGATAAATATACAGTACAATATTGATATCAAATGTTGCAAATGCAATATTATGTGTCATAAAAACAGTTATCTGACCTAAATTTTTGAAGCTAACATAATAGTACAGTCAGCACTTAAGTATACGATTTTATGAATAATTATAACCTTTACTTCCAAGGCAAGTTTTGCAACTTGGTCATTGAACAAACGTAAATGGTCAGCAATCTGACATAACTTAAAAACTTTGACCTAAAATATTATTGTAAAATAAACCAAAATCATCAATTTTGTCGTATTATTAATTCTTAAATTTTTAAACTGAAAAAATTCATATAAAGGGTTTTTTAAATCTTTTTAATAACCTTATTAGAATTAATTTTTTTACCATTAATTTATGATAAGATTTTGCATTAATTAATGTGATAATATTTAATTTTTTAATTTTAATTTATTATTACTTACCAGCATAGTGTATTGCATTAGTGAACCAGAAAACAGTATATCTTCATCGTCTAATTTTTTTGAACTTCTTAAGGATGGTGCAGGTGTGGGGTCAAGACTTCGACGTACGTTGACTGATACCTTTTGATTTGAAAAAAGCTTATGAAAGTAATAATATTTTAAACCTTTGAAGGTATTAAAAATATCCTAATTAATTTAATCATGAATAGGATGAAAAATATCGAATAAAAATTACATTATCAAATAGAGAATAATAGAATTTTTTACAATTACATTATTGAAACAAATATTATCTCGGTTAACAAGTTGATATCAGATTAATAATAAATTATAAAATTAAAATTTTGAACTTTAAGAAATCCGCGTATTTCTGAATACGCAAGACGATCAACGTCACCACCTGACGTGACTTCTTGGCAATCGGTTCTAAGAACAAGCCACTTTTCACATAATAAATGTCGTTTTGATTTATAAATAAATCCCAAATCACATTGAAATCCTCCAATCAATGTATCACTTGCAAGCTGTTGAGCATTATACACCTGGTTAAGCATTTTTAAATGATTAAAAGTTATCGGTCACTCAATAAATACTAATTTGGTAATATGCAAGTATGGACTGATTATTTTGGTCTCATAAAATAATTATTTCAAGTATAGAAGTGCTTTAGGAAGTAAATTATTCTGCTTTCAAGAAAAGGAACTTGAATTTTGTCATCTAATTAATTTTAGAAAATTTGAAAAATTAGAATATGTATAATAAATATATGGTATCAGGGGCCATTTTGAATCGATAAATGTTGCTGATAGTGGTTTCTCATAACTGATATGACTGATATAAATATGAAAGCGAATATCATGATTAACCTCAACAACTTCATATTTATCAAAAAGAATCTAAACTAACAAAGCCTTTCTTGAAATCACAAATTTTTAGATGTTATTTAGAATATAAGATTCTAAAACCAAAAATTATCGAAATTTTATTAGATCAAAATATAAAGAAAATTAACAATAAAACTTTTAATAACAAACTCTGAATTCTAAACAAGTTTTCATCATATCTTGAAGAGATTTTCGGATTGTAAACGAAAATGATTCATTCCACTGAGGTGAATTAGTCCCATGTTGGGATATACTTGATCGGCATCGTTTATCAAGGATAACACGTAATAATGGATTCAGATTATCACCATGAAGTTCACGAGCTTCGAATATATGCAAACGTATCTTAAATACTGTTTGATTATTTCAATATATTGTCATAAGTAATCTAGTAGCATTTATTATCATTATCAAAGCAATCAGCAGATTAATGAAATGATAATAATGAAGTGATTAGTCAGCTAATTGCTTTCATATCTTACTATTATGATCATTTAAATTTAATATCGACAAGCTAGTAATTAATTAATTAGTTAATTATTATTTATATTACTAACTAACCGATAATTATCAGATATATAATAGAAAAACTTACGATAAATGATTGCAAGCTATCAGTATCATCAGTATCATCTCTATCTTCATGCTCTGCTACTTGCACATTTGCAGTTTTACTCATTGAAGTAATTTGGTTTTCACTTGATAAAATACTTCTGTCAGTTGAGTAAATTGAATCTGATACCTGATATGGAAAAATATTTTTATAAGGATAAAATTATGATTAATTAGAGGCGCGAATTTTCTTTTTTAATTTTTTAAAATTTATAAATTATGCAATAAAAGCAAATTACCAAATGTTGCAGTATTTTTAGCTTTCTCTAATCAGTATTACAGAAAAATCAAATAGCAAAAATGAAACTATGACAAATTCAAATAGAAATTTTATAATTAAACAAATACAAATAAAAAAATGATAATAATAATGATAATAATAATATTAATAATAATAATACTGAATCTTGATCTGATGATTGTCCATCAGTAGTTTGCAGTGGTGTTTCTGTAAAAATACTTTCAGCTTGTTCAAGATCATCATCATCATCATCAGATACTTCAGTAGTTGATGCTAATCCTCCTTTGCTATATTCTGTTGCAAATGACGATCTTGATTGGTCATGTCGAATACGTGATTTAACACGTTGGCCTATATGACTTATTTTTGACAGAAAGTGTCTACGACCACGTTTTATTTTTTTTCTCTGTTTATTATCATCTGTTTCATTGTCAGTCATATCACCATCGCTATCATCATCTCTATCATTCTCATCATAATCACTGTCTTCATTTCGTCTTCTTTGCAACTATAATAATAAAGTAAATGAGAATACACTTCCAACAATGTTCGTTACAAAACGTTATAATTTGATTCCTTCTGCTTCTCAATTTCAATCATAGCTTTCAGTCCTAACTTAAGTTCCGTCCTAAATTTGTAGTCTTAGTTACAGTTTTCTTAATTCAGTAGTTTAGTTCTTCGGCTTAGACTTATCTTGAACTCATCTGAAGTAGTAAATAGATGAATTAAGTTTGCCAATTTCGGTAAAATCTTACAGAATTTGGGTTTTATTATATTTAAGTTCCTAGCGATTCAGACTTACGCTAGCACTACGTGATTTTCGGTTCTTTACGCCTGAATATTTTATAATTCTTTCCGTATAATAGCAAAAAAGTACTTTAACTTTATGGTTTTACCATTTTACGTGAACGTTAATGTTCAATTTTAACAATAATTATGATTTTTTAATTACTTGAAATTAATTAACAAAAACAAATATTACCAATGACATTGCAGATGTAACAGCTTCTGGTTCTTGTTTTTTCAAAAACTTTTCTGAATACTTTTTTATTTGTTTGCCAAGAAATCGTTCCGTCATTGTCACGTTATTATTTTAATTGTATATTGTTGTTGACTTTATACAAAACAATACATTACTATTAAAAAAATTGTAATACAATAATTCAAAAAGTAATATTTACTTCATAAATTATTCAGAAGGTAATAAATACTTCATAATAACAAGAATTTCTCAAAACTCATTCAGAATCATATGCACAAACAAGTACCAATAAAAATAATAATTGACTACAATTGATAAAAGCCAGAATCTGACCAAAAAGCAACCAGCAATGAAAGTTTGTTTAATAATTCTGTAAAAGTCGATATGAAAATTTTTTTGTCAATTCAGAAAATTTGCATAAATCAAAAAGTAATATGCCAGATAGTTCTACAACTGCTCTATAATCTATTCAATATTCTATTTTTAATAATTTTGAATAAACACCAAAATATATGACTACAGATTGAAATAATTCGGAATAAAAAAGTTTTTTTATCAGATATTTTTGGATTAACTTTTTTTTCAAAAGTAAAATTACATTTATTAATAATTACATAAGTACAGGAATATATTCAAAGGGCCATCCAATTATAGTGAAAGAATTGTTCTCAAATGTTATCACATTACACACTGATATCAATCATGAAAATTTAATTTAATGAATCGAATTTAATTTATTAAAATTTATTAAAAATTTTCAATTCTATTTCAATTTAAAATCTCAGTTCACTTTCAAAAGTTTGATTCAGTTTATTTTAATTTATATTTGAATTAATGAACTAAATTTGTTAAAAGAAAAATTCAATACTTTTAATAGATTTTTTACAAAAATTCGATGTAAACTTTAAAATGGATAATTTTTTAGAAAATACCGAAAGTAAAAGGCATTGCTGCTGAAAGGGAATTCAGAATGACTTCGGTAGAAGCATAAAAACCATACATAGCTGGTACTGATATGGAAGTACTAGGAATAAAGTAGGGTTTAGGTTTCAAAGGTATGGGAACTACCAAAGAATTTGGGATCATACTTGTGGTAGATTTTGCAAGTTCTCGAGATTTCATCGCGGAAATATTTGTGGCAAACAAATTGTGACATCGTGACAGCTAAAAATAGACAACTTTTTAGACTGTTTTTTGATTTCTTAGAAAATTATTATCTTTCTTTTTTCGCAGAATCCTTTCCTAGAAAATTTGACGTTTATGGCTTCAGAGAAAGTTTAATTTTGAGTAGAACAACCACTAAAATATTATTTGAAGTTATTATAAATATAGAAGAAATATTATTAAATTACAAAAATTATATTATTTTCTATGCATAATATTAGAAAATGTCTTGCATAATAACGTATATATTAATTAATTAAATTAATTATTTGTTATAAACATTAAAAAAAAGTAAATTACAGTCGAGTTGAACTGAGATTTCGGAAATTGAACTTGTTTGCATGCTGGCTGAATTGTTAAATTCTGATCTAACTTTGCAAATTCTGATAAAATGTTTGGTGCTGTGGATAAATTTATCGGTTTCTTCATATCTAAAAAAAATACCAAAAATCAAGTCAAAGATTTTTTCTTGAATTAGGTCAAAGAGTACACCAGAAATTTGCTCTTTGACCTGATTAAAGTTGAATACTTTTTCAAACATCTTAGATGGCTTTTCAAAATTTAATTTACTTAAGTAATATGCAAACTGCACAAAATTGATAACAAAAAAATTTGAATATCTATTAGGAAATGTATATTGTCACTTTAAAAACTAATATTCTTTGATTTGAATAAACATTTTTGCTACCAGTGTTATTTACTTAAGTATTAAGCTTGTATAAGTTGAAATTAAGTAATTTCAGTTAATATTAATTACCGATTTGAGACGTAGTATTTGATTTAAATTTTGAAGAAAACTTCAAAATTTGATCCAATTTTCGTCTCCTTCCGATTAATTCGCATTGAAAACATTTGCAATTTGCATATAAACAATGTCTTTTATGCTCCTAAATTAATTTTTACTTAAAAACTTGCTTGCACGAAAAAACAATTTTTTTAAATTAAAAATATTTTTGAGCTAAAATATCAATAACTCTCAAATTTGAATAAATATTTTACCTTTTTCCAAACTAAAAATCCATGATTTTTACATTTTTGACAAATATAGCACTGGTTTCTCGCTGTATTGCTAATCACATCAGAAATAACATTCTGAAGCATTTAAATATTATCAAAATAACTGCTAAAACTAAAAGAGTGAACAAAATTTTATGCATAAAAATGAATTAAAAAATAAGGATATATATTTTATGAATTCTGACTATTCAAAAAAATCATAACTTGAAATATTGAGATGTTTCGATTAAATATAAGTTAGTAAGTAAACAATTAAACATGAATTAGTATAAACTTAGAGTAAATTAATAAAATGGTGTGTATAAAAGGACCTAAATTAAAATAGTATAAAGTAATTTAATAAAGTTAAAAGGAAAAATAAAGTGATCATAACTTTAAGCATAATGTTCCGTTTGGATATTTTGTGTTAATCGTTATAAAAATCATTTTTATTCCAATAATTTTGTTGATAGTGATAAACAAAGCTAATTTTTGAAGGTTTTCATAGGAGTTTGAGTTTTGAATTTAATTAAATTATTGAATTTTTGGTAAAAAAAAAAGCCGCTGAAGATAAAATTTATGTAATTTCACGTTATTTACGTGAAAAATTCTCAATAATTTTTATACTTTCACATATTTTGATCCATTAGCTAGCTGATTATTGTTTATTGAATTAAAAAAAGGAAACACAATGTTACTCGATTATCGTTATTATCCGAGCAAGTTTGAGGAATAATAGTTGCATGCGCAGGTACCGAAGTTCGTTGAAATATTCTATCTTGCGCACGTCTTATGCGTATTTGTGTGCGCATAATTTGTCGACGTTGACGGATTAGTAAGCACTGTAACAAAATTGTATTGCTTAAATAAACTGTTTAAAATGGCATTTTCATATTATTTTAGTTGGTTATTAATTTCAAAAAAAGAACTCAAAAAATTTTTTTTGATAAATTTATATATATTTATTAATCAATGTCTTGTTTGCCAAATTATTTCTGGATAAGTAAAGATTTTCACTTAATCAGAAATAATTTGCGAATATAACTTTGCGCACCACTTTTTTAAATATCTACATATCTGATTTGTATTATTGAAAAATCAAATTACTTTTAACATGCTTTCGTATTAATTTTTAATAACTTTTAATAATGAACTCTTACTTTAGAGCAGCTACAACTTTTTCTAGTACAGTGATGACCACGTGTTTCAACAAGTATTCCATGTTGCCGACAGATTCCGCAATGACGTTTCACGTCTATAAATTTACCTTAATATGCTCACTTAAAGAGGTTACTTTAAAAACTTTATAAAATAAAAAGAGTAACTTCCAAATTACCTTTGCAAAGTTTTACTGTTCTTAGCGCTATATTTTGAACAACCAAAAATATTACAGTTTAACTGTCTTTGCATACTTAAAACTTAAAAATTTTTCTCGTAATGATTAATAGAATATTTAAAAAATTAAATCTATTACAAAGTGGCTCTAAAATTATCTAAAATTAATTATTTATTAATTAACCTTTGGGCATTTTTTTGCTTATTGCAAAGTATCGTTGGCAATTTTCAGCATTTGTTGACATTTTTCTTTAAATTTCTATAAATTGTGAATATTAAATTATCAAAAAACAGATAAATATATTTATTTCAAATTTCAAAATTGCTTTTTGTCAAATTAAAAACAAAAAAGTTGATAATATAAATAAGTAAATGTTTTTCAATTTCAAAAATAAATGAATAAATGTTTTTTAAATTTCAAAATTATTTTTTAATTTGATTAAAATATAAAAATTTGAAAATAATTGGGAATTTATTTTTAAATACAATTATTTGATATAAGCATATAACATCAATAATAACAAAAATACAATAAATACGCAAAATTCAAATTGATAAAAATGCTAATTATTCAAATATTTTTGCTACTTTCTTAAATAAGGTATTTATTAATCACTGAATATAACTGGAAAAAGTTTCCAACGTCAAAAAAATGGATATATGTGAATTAAAGTAATCTTTGATGACATAACTATTATTTATAACAAATGCTTGCATCAATATTTGAATAATTTTAATATTTTACACATTTAATTTCCGTTCGAAAGGATTTATTGTATATAATATATAATTAAATGTCTAAATCTCTTGAAATATTAAATAATAACTTTGCTTTATATATAGACGTACGCTTTCTGAAAAAATATTTATAAGTTAAAAAAAGAATTCTATTTTTACGTGACGTATTTTTATTGATCGAAAAGTTACAACAAACTTGGAGGTTTCAATAAAATAACTTAAAAATTGGATTAACTTCACGATTATCATCAAAAAAAAAAATACATTCAAAATGCAATTAGTTAAACAAATACATTACTTACTTACAATTATGTAAAAGAAAGAGCTAATTTTAGCTAAAAATTATCGAATTTATGTCACTTTTAATGCCAAAATTTTCTACATAAATTGAGTAAGTAAATTATTTATAAATTTTAAATAGTTTATAGTCAAATTATGCAAATTAAATTAGAGCGAATTAATAATATGACATCACTATTAGTCAATTGTTATTAGTTTTAAATAGATATTTGTCAGTTATAAATAATTTTAAAACATTCGATGCAGAAATTAGCCTAAATTTTTTTAAATGTAGCATATATAAATAGTCAACAACAACAAAATTGTTACTTTACAATTTTTTGCACTAATTTATAGGTGTTGTTAAAGATATAAAATTTTGCATATTCAAAATTTGTATATTCAAAATTTGCATAATAATACAAAATTTTAATCACTAATACTTAGCTAAAAACTTATCCTCAAAAAGCAAGCGTTAATTATTTAATCTAAAAGTTGTAAAACTAATAAATTATTATTTCTAAAAATTATTTATTCAAAGAGATCTAATTTGATAAATATGAAAAAATAAGTTTAAATGAGAAAAAGATTCAGACTTCGTTTTATATAATATTTTTAAACAATGAAAGTTTAGTATTAGTGAAAATAATCGGATAGCAATGATCACATTACATAATTTTTTCTTTTTTTTGAGCAAAAATATTATTTATTGTGTTTCAGATGGAAATCGAATCCTAAAGAAAAGTTGAACTTTGACATATATCTTTTTTCGCTTATGCAAAGTATCGCCAAATTTCAATAATGCTTTTAATAATTTTTGAGCAATAATTCAAAAAAATATCATTTTTGATAAATTTGATGACTTTTTATTAATTAAAAAAATTCTGCACTGAAATAATTTATCAGTTACTTTTTATTTTTTTATATCACTTTTTTATCAATTAAAACTTGCAGTATGATAATACATTGGAAAAAATATAAGCAAAAAAATATTTGAATAAATTTGTAAGCAAAAAAATATTTGAATAAATTTGTAAGTAAAAAAATATTTGAATAAAT